ATTTATAGTTTTGTATTCTGATAACATTCTTTTATATTTAACATTTAACCCTTTCCGGCCAGATGTTGCCAAATGGCAACATTTTTGCCGTAGGGGGATACGACATTTTTAAAAAAGTCGGCAGTGAAAAATCGATCCCTATAACTAAACAACAAAGAATATATAGAAAGATAACTTTTTGCTTGTTGTTTTCTGGTAGCCGGCCGTAAAGGGTTAAACAAGAAACAATTCTATTTTATTTGCTAGATAAATATATAGTTAGTCTGAAAAAGTGAACATATATTATAAGAACAAAATAACGTACACTTATAAACAGAGATTCTATTGATCTATAACTGACAACATTTATGGCAGTCAATGATATTTTGAATCAGTTTTACAAGGGATTTTGTTGAACTCAAAACTTGAGATGGGAATATCTTGAAATCGAAAATATCGAAAATAATATATTTTTATTTGAAAGAAAGAATGGCGAAAAATATTATTTAAATATGTAGAAAAAAGAATTATTGAAATTTTCAACATACTTATTTTAAATTTATCTAGTCGTCCAACTAATAAAGCTAATTTAACGAGCAACTATTTAGAGATAATTTTACCTTTTTTTATATTTAGCATTTAATGTTTAAAAATTGTCATTGATGGCTTATACTTTCTGCTCACTAAGAGCCCGTGTGTATCAGGGTATACGCGTTCAAAATAATGCGATACCCACACTATTCTGGTATATGTTGAAATTATCGTTAATTTTTTCATATTTCAATAATAAAGATATATAAGCTGAGAGGAATCACTTGCTTATTTTTTGATCATTAACATTCTTCTAATATTTACCAATATTATTAGGTCTTTATAAAAAAACGTTTAATTGTTTTAAACTAGATCTTTTCATAAGTCTCATTCATATTTTAGTTCTATAATATACTACGAAGTAATAATTGTTTGCATCCTTTTCTTCATTACAAATCGTTGATTGACTGATAAATGCAACATCTGTTTTTGAAATAAAACATTTGCATGATTTCAGTAGAAAAATACGACAATATTTAATAGTAATATTATCATCTATCAATATACAGTTAACAAATAAATATATAAAAACCTGATTATCGTCTGTAATGGAAGTATTTTATATACCTTTCATGAATTCATATCAATAAGAATTGAATTTGATCTACTCATTAAATATTGTTTTTATAGAAAAAAAAGATCATATGTTATATCACATTCGATAGAATTTATCATAAACTGATTACTGATAAAAAGATTTTATTTATCAATCTAAAACCAAGAAATTGATATACATATATAACTGAGAAATATCTAGAAAGATTTACATGATACAGATATACATCAGAATTTATTTTCCTTGATTACGGAGGGAAGCATTTTATATATCAAATTTCAATCAACACTATGGAGTGATATATATTTTGCGATTACATAAGTTATTTTGTTTCAGTCGTTAAACAATATATTGGAAAAAAATTGATGAAGTCTTCATCAATAAAATTTTACATACTATATTTGATTATTCTTATATATGATATAATCATTGTACACTCATGAATATGTAGATATTTCGAATGAAAATTATACCAATATATTTTAATTCTGCAGGCTATAGATACACATGTGTTAAAATTATGTATGTCATAGCTTTCAATAATTTATACAAATATCTTTGTGACTTCTTTCTATTTCCACTCATCAGTTCATAATGGAGAGCATCAATATATATGTACAGAAATTATTCGTATAACAATTTGTAATAATAGAAATAAATAGAAATATCATTCTCATTTCTTTTTTTTCTGTGAGTCTTTTAATATTGTCCCTTATGAATACGTACTTATTGAAAGTCTTTCTATTATAATTTGTAACAATACATATTAAACGATGTGTTCAACAGGATGTTTATAATAAATATCTAATAGTTAAAAGCTTCACAGAGACTTCGTTGATACTTAATAATGAACAATTGAAACTCATTAGGAATATTTCGTTTGGAACTAAAATTTTACAATTTAATCGTCATGTTACATATTCAGATTTCAAATTGCTCACGTAACCAAATAAATCTGATTTTGAACGATCCACGGTAATATTTGAATCTCTCTGCCTCCTCAACAAAAAGTTATTCATTTGTAGTTCAGCGCAATATTTATCATAATGCATAGTTAGCAACTAATTCTTTTACAATAGGACATTACATCCAATTGAATAGGAACAAAAAGTACATTTTTTGAAATCATGCAAACAAATTGTGTGATGATCTATCAAAAATTCCATATTCATCAATTACTTTCCTTTTTCGAAAGTGAATAGATTGTGTATGAACGTGTTTAAATAAAAGATAAAGTAAACATTTTTTTCTTTCGCTCGATCAGTATAAAATGGCTCTTTCACAAGTTCAATCCTCATTGAATACGACACCATACAAACATTCATTGTTTGAATATAGTATTGTTAACCAAGTGCTCTATACAATTTATTCTTGATCATGCATCTTCGAAATTCCTATTTTTTTGATGTAATGTATAATAATATAGAGGCCGCAGTACGAAACTGTTCAAACATGAATGACGATGAATTCTACTGCTACTATAAATATGCTACACATTCAAAAAAGTTCTGTCATTTCAACGAATTTTTATCGAAATATTTCCATATTTTTATTTTGGCTATGGCTTGTCTTTTTCTCGTTTTTGGCATTTTATTTTTTGTAATTCAATATTATTTACTTTTCAAGCACAAGAAATGTTCTGATGATAAAAATTCTGATGGAGATTATACTTTCAGCATTAGTGCTGAAGATTCCAAATGACGTCAGATGCCTACTATTATCATCAAATATTCAAGTGCAGAAGATGGCTTCATTTTGTCATTCATTCGTTGTTAGTTATTCATTTATTCACGTATCCATGTATCAATTAGAATTTTTTTTAAACTTTTTTTATAATCTTACTTATAGTTATTTTGTGTAATAATCTTTGTGGTTTCGATTTCAAAAATTTATATTATAATCTTGCAATTTATTTATGTAGTTTATTCAATAAATTAAATTTAAATAACTCAATCTTATTTTTTCCTAATGCTTTCATCTGAAAAAAATAATAGAAAGAATATGACTAGTACTATACTTACGCCAATGAAATTCATGATAAAAAAATAATCAGTGATTTTCGTTTTCTTGAAATAAATTGATCAACATACTATTTTATCACAAAATTTATTTCGATAAATGATGACTTTACATATTACATATTTGATCACTTCTCACCTTTTTATCATTCAAATGGATATTCAAACAAGAAGCATAACATCATCAGAATGACAAGAAATAGAAAAAGCAATTAAGCGGAGAGAAAGAGAACAACTAACATATTGATGACTAATGTATAGAGGGCGAATGTGTACATTAAATCAAAAAATAACATTCAATAAATGAGATAGTCAATTTCAATCAATTGCATATATAATTCAATTACGAACAAACGTTAGCCATGTTTATATAGTTCTAAGAAGTTAAAACTTGTGTCGAATACAGATTGTTATAAATATCTAGGAGATAATTCAAATCATTCAAAACAGTGGAGCGGTAGATAGATAAAAGTTTTGAATAGATCCTTGTTTTTTGTCCAGACAAATATTCCTCTTGTAACACGTTACAGCTAGAAATTTTTTTTCGTTTTTATCTTTTTATTTCTCTCACATATGTGTAGTCTATCATCCGATAATCATCTTTGTTAATTAGATAAACAATTATCATTTTAGTTCATTCGAATAAAACACTCTGCTCATCCACATAATAATAGCTGCACTGATTATCATGTATTATTAATCATAAAGCAGTTCAATCGTATCAGACACTTCGGTCAGTTCATCTGTTTATATTGTAATTTCAATCAGAATAAATGAATTAAATTGATTTATCATGTTTTTAAGTGAACATGTGAAATTATGTTATGTAAAGCACAAGTAGATCATTGAAACACGTATCAACCATGACTAATTGCTTTTTCTACGTGATTTCGGTTCCATTTTAGATCAGTTGATATCTATTTGTTTCCAAATCAATCATCGCTTTGTTTATTCAAAGTCAGTTGCGAATTCACAGCAATTCGGGAAGAAAAAACTACTCTCTCAAGAATCATTTTCACCTATTAAAATCGTTGAAATCAAAGAAACAGTCAATACTAAAAATAAGGCATATTTCTAAAAATTTCCTAATTATCTTTCATATTTTATAGGTTCAATTCATTATTTAATATGGGTTCGTTTTTTTCGAAAGCTGTCAAACAGTCTGCTCATATATCGGGAAATCAGAATATCATCTTGCTCAACAATGGACAAATGTTCAACATGTCAGTAATATGGAATCAGACAATCCAGAAGGCAGTCGAAAAATTTGAAAAAATCCTCATTGCCAACAATAGAAATATTATCATTAATTTTATGTTGGTTTTAATTGTCATTATGTTGCCTTTTATTTTTCTATATTTACGCCATCGCTATCAAAAATTCTCAGCTAAAACCGGTTCCAATGGCTCTTCATTAAATAAATTCAATGAATCTTCATCAAGAAACATTCCTAGTTACACTACAGGATATTATGTTTAGAAATTATATGTTTATCATTTATCAAATAATTTAAATATCTGTGTACATTTATATATAACAGATAAATAAACAGTTGTTTGCTTGTAAAAAATTTACATTGATGTTGCATCGTAACTATTGCATTTGTTTATTTTCTGATATGTTACGAAAGCTATGTATCTGTGCATGAAAAAATGCTTATATCATTATTAATGATAAACAAAAAACTTCTTTTCTCCGCCTTTGTCTCTCTCTCTCTTTATTGCATATTTTTTTTCATGGTATAAAATACAATTGAATTCTTAGTTCTTCTTTCATACGAAGTAAAACGAAACTCATTACTGTAAAATTATTCATACTATCATTAACTAATTTCTTCTCTGTAGAACATCATTATTATGGGTATTGGTAACTCAAATACAGTAGTTGAAGCAACGATCCAAGGGGCAGGTTCGAATAATCATATATCGGTAAGCGATTTACCTTCAAAGCTCAAAAATGGTACTGCTGTTCAAGATGTAATGAATACTGTTGGTAAGACGGCTGGTAAAATCATCGAAAGTGGTGGTGATATTATAACTGCACCAGCAGTTTGGTTAAAAGATATTCAACAAAACTGGCTTAGCTACATGATTGTTACTGCTGTTATTTTATCAATTTTAGCATTCTTTTATTGCTCGTTTAAATTTTATTTAAATAAAAAACAAAGCAACATGTCCAATAACAATCTTCTCGATTTTGCCAAAATTATCAACAACAAAAATGGCACCATGCAAAATCAATTGCCATTGTCATTAATCAATTTACCATCAGTTTCATCAAACACACCAGCACAATTAATGGCTTAGATGAAAGCTAAATTTTTTTGGAATATTTTATGAACATAATTACACTTTTGTAGAATCGTAGCTGTAGTATTTCAATTTATATACCAATATAGGTCTTTTTACATTTTACTGTCTTAGTTATCATTTAATTGTATTTAGTTTTTATCATTTTAATAAATGAATATGAATTAAAAATTTAAATCTGTTTTTACACGATTATATGAAAATTATTGTTCACTGTCGTATTCACTTATCTTGTTTTGAGTTGTTGGCTTCTTTTTCTTTACTGTATATAGTATTATGATAGTTATTATATATACATGTATATAGAGTGATACCTATATGAGGCTTGCTGAACATCAGTTATTGTCGAATATAAATAAACGATCGCTAATCAGCAATTTGATTTAATCTTAAAGAAATTGCAAACGACTAATACAATCTTTTTATGTAATATATGTTTTATGTTTTATTCGATATCTGAATTGTTTATTTGATCATACTTATTTTTCGTTTATTACGAAATAGAAATTTCAAATAAATTTCTGCAATAGTTTGATATCTATATATAAAAATCTATCTAAACATTCTATTGTCTTTTGTATTTATATGATTGACCTCAATACATTAAATCGGCTAAAAAATACAATAGCATTATATATTAATCCTATACGTGTAGAGTTCAATTATGAAATAATAAATAAAACAAAGATTTTATGCAATCGTATGACATCTATTGAAATAAACAATAAAATAAATTAAACAATAAAATAAATTAAACAATAAAATAAATTAAAGAACTAAAACCAAAAAAACTTACGATCACAATTGATATACATGTATATATTTAATCGATAAATAAGCAATTTAACAATTTGTATAAATCAAAAAATGATCATATGTAATAGATATAGATACATATACAACTAGATATTTTATTTTATATCTAGTATTATAATACTAATGAAGAAGAATTGGATTATTTATTCAATACTTGAAACAAATAAATAAAGCTATTGATCTTCATATTATATACGAAAATGAAGGGAATAAAACAAATAGCTGAATAATATAATTCATTCATTCGTTTTCATCTTATATATGAAAATAAAAACTATTGAACAGCTGAATCAAAATCCTGAATAATTAAAAAGATTTATTTGTTTTTATATAACATATGTAAGTTTAAAAAAAGAGATATAGCTGAATAATATAATCGATCCATTCGTTTTCATATTGTATATGAAAATAAAAAGAATGAAACAACTGAATCAAAATCTCGATCAATCTAACAGATTTGTTCGTTTTCATATTATACATAAAAATAAATAAAAAAATGAAATAGTCGAATCAAAATATTGAATAATAAACTAATTCAGTCGTTTTCATATTAAATATAAAAAGGACCACCTAACAAAGAAATTTAATAGCTGACTAAAAATCCTGAACAATATACTTGAATGGCTCGTTTTAATATTATATATGAAAGTGAAAGCAAAAAAATAAAATAACTGAATGAAAATCTAGAATAAATAAACAGATTTACTCGTTTTCATCTTATATACGAAAATGAAGCGAAAAAAAATAGCTGAATAACAAAATCGATTCATTCGTTTTCATATTATATATGAAAATAAAAAATCTTGAACAGCTGAATCAA